TGCCGTGTTGAAGATAACCCCGATTACTCTGCAATAGGCCGAATTGCACACGTTTTCCCAAGTTTGGAAACAAAAGTTGGCATAATTGCGCTAGCCTACAGACTACAGTTACGCTACTGCCGAGCTCACTTGCGTTGCAATTGCCAGTGATGGGTGTCACGAACGCTGTAGGACATTTTAAATATCACCGACTTCTAGAGCTCGTAACATTGCGTCCGACTTGGAGCTGTGCTGTCCCTCCTCGCTCCTTCTTCTCCCCACTCTCTTTCTTTCAAGTTCACAGATTGAGCCTGCTTTACCTTTTTTTCGGAGTTCCAACGACATGCGACCATCATGCATAGAATTGCTCGCCTCCGTCAACCTCGCGTTGCTCCTCCCGATTACCACCTCAGGCGCCCCTCTAGGTCTGGAAAAGCGCAGCGGCAACGATCAGGATATGATACCCGTGTCCGCGCAAGAAATTTCTTCTAAATTTGTGCTGCCGGCGCGTTTTGCACAGATCGCTTATTACCCGAGCGACCTCCTCCAGGCATGGGGGTGCAGTAACCCGTGCAAGGCGCTTGGGTTGGGTGGTTTCACCCCCCTTACCGTCGGGGGCGGTGCGTTTTCCCTTCGCAACTACTGCTTACGTTCACCGAAAAGTATTGATACGTTCTGCGATAATATGGTGGCAAGATCCCTCACTGTAAGCTTTGCTCGTGGGACAAGCGAATGGATAATGCGGACTTGTACTGGTAGTGATCCCACAGTTTTTGCCGGACACGACAATCAGACCCAAAATATCGTTGTCGCGCATCAGGGCACCGACTCAACGAAGGCTTTGCGTGCACACAGGGCCGCACCGCCGATACCATTCTCTCTACAGTCAAGCCAGGACTGCAGAACACGATATTCCGGAACGTCCTCGTCACAGGACACAGCCTTGGCCGGTGGTTGCGGTCTTGGACACTCTCATGCTCGCCAGCATCTTGACCCAACCATCTCTATCAACCAATTGTATTCGCTCCACCGCGCGTTTGCCAATCTCATCGACTCAGAGGTACGCCCACTCGGTTATTGACGACTGTGCTACCCACCTGGTCTTGACTCTCCCGCCCCACGTGGTACCGGGCATTGTAACAGCTCGGCAGCAACTACACCTACGTCACACACGGGAATGACTCAGTGCCGAATCTAACTTACCTCCGCGTTTCATAGGGTACCGTCATTCTGCGGGGGTACACATCCCGACGAGTGACGAGGCGAGGACGGTGGTCTGCCCTGGGCAGGGGAACGAGGACTGACAATGTCAGTCGGTCAACTCGATCATCCACACGTCCATCTTGGACCATGATGGTCGGTATTTCACCGGAGTGAGAATGGGCAGACAGTATTGTCCGTTAAGAGGAACTTGAGCGCGAACGGGCAACCTCTTGTAGTAATCGTCCGAGGCTCTGTGACAAGGACAGACTATGACTGGCCGCCAATGTATTTCTATATCTCTTTCACGTGTTGAGCTAATGGTACTTACCTTGAAACTGTAATTTTATTGTCCAGTTGAGTGTGGGTGGTGTTGCACCATGTCACAAGAAGTCAATGTCCCGTCAGAACGCCGCGTACATTTGGTCCCGTCCAATATCCGACGGGCGTATGGAGCGTCGGAAATTGCTGCCTCATTCTTTCCCTTCCATGGACCTTGCCGTTTATATTAGTCCATCCACGGAAACCTCACACCCGAGACCTCCCCCGAAAAAATCTCATGTGACAGACACGGGACTGTTTTACTGTTATACTGTAAATAGAACGGAGCTTGAGTCCATTCTTACACCATCTGGGAGCATACTCGGCACAGCGAACAACTTTGGATTATCAAATTCGCATTCGCATCATGGCAGAACATCAGTAAGACAACGGACACACGGTTCAGTTAGTTTGGCGGAGCAGCATCATTTCGAATTAGCTGCATTTTTTTGGATACATTGGGTTAGATCAATAAAATCGACGCCCGATTATCAAAGCATATGAGCGGAGACTGAGAGCGCTATCATAGTTGAACCAGTAGCGATTCAGACGAAGTGTCAATGTACACTGAGGCTTCGTCGAATGACTTGCTGAGGCGAGCATGTAGTAGCATGGTGAACTCAAGGGTGAACTTATTATGATGCTATAGCGACTCATTGGACCAAGCATTGGACAGATTTCTAGGTAGAGGCTGCGGATTCGATGCGGCTCGGTCATTCCGACAGCAGTGTCTAGAAGCCTGAGTTCGCTTTCCCTTCTTCAATTTACTGTGACCGGAGATAAGCGGCCATCGGAGAAATGTCATCAGGCTTACTTGACTGACCATTGGTCTAGGGCGAGAGGATTGATCGTGTTCAGAGTCGTCCCACAAGCTGTGAACCAAAACCCCAGTCTAGGCACAACTGCTTGCGACCATCATCGGATGGGTCGAGTCCTGGTTTCATAGTGATCGCGGGCCAGTATGTCGAAGAAGACCTCGGAAGTTGGTCTCGATGGGGCGAAGACGGCGCGGAACGAGTTTCAGTTCGGACAGTTCCCAGCCTGATGCACCGGTACCGAGTGTATATTCCTACGCAAGGTCAGTGTACACACGTGTCGGACCTTGTACCGTACTATGATAAAGTCGTCATGTTATAACTTGTATACGGCGGGATGAATTGATCGTGCAAATGAGCTTTCCCTGGGTCTGCGTGCCAGTGGGCCCAGCGCGGTATTATGCACCCGGAATGTCCGATCAAACCAGCCAGTAACATGTAACACGTGATAACATGAAAGAATGTTGGCTTTTTCCTGGTCAACCGATTGAGGAGATGGACCTGACACTGATGAGTTGTCTCACACTGCACGAAGCTTACAGGCGCCGGGGGGTGGTCTAATATTGTACTTAATGTGACACACCGCACCCAGCGTGCAAGCCAGCGCGTGTGTACTTGGAAACGCTCGGCTCTTATTGCAACTGAATACTGGGTGCTGAGCGCTGAGGCATACAATACGGCCCGCTTGGTTACGTTGTTGATCCACGTGGGGAAGAGGTAAGCAACTCCAAGGCAGTAAAGTATAAATCTCGGCTCAGCGCGTTTTTTGTTGTTTACGGTGTCGACTTGATTTTCGAGTGAGCTCGGGGTCTGACCGGTGCATAGGTCAGATCCCTTCTATATAGGCACATACTATAGGTCGCTTGCATGCTCAACACTCGCCAAGACCATGGTTCTTGGGCCAATGCTACGCGATACGGACGGAGTGCTGTAGAGCGGTGATCGAGTTGACGCCAAGTGGTCAGGGGACCGCTTAGCGCCCATGTGACCGGTGCAAGGGTTCTAACTAAGATAGGCCGGCGCAGGAAGTACAGTATCTGAATCTTGATCCTTGACACCAGAAAGGAAGTGTAGGGAGATACAATAGGTGATATTTCTTTGCTGATGGTTGTGCCAAAACACCATTCATTGTACACACACCACAAATGTAACAATACTAGTCGGAATCGGAAATGACCGAGTCGGGCGACGGGTTGTTGTCAGGCCGACGACCGGACCCAACAGTATCTTAGATAATCTAAACTGCCGTTTTCCTCAGGTGAGAAAAATGTGGAAACGAAACACAATAAATGGGAATTTCAACAGCTGGCACTGCTATTTCTTCACCGCCCTCCTCTTCCTTTTTCCTCTATCGATCCTACGACCTCATGACTGGCTACTCTTCCATCTTCTCCTCGGGTCTTCTTGCTACCCCACGACCACCCAGGCATGCTGACCCTTCAGACTACAGCATGTCTTCACAAACTGACTGTTCCATAAACATCGACTATGATCCCGAAACCACGCCTACAAAGCTGAACACGCCGTTGGACCCGTCATTCGAAGACGTGATGGATTACTTTATGCCTCGCAGCCGCACATCCAGCAACGCGAGCACCAACTCCTCAGCACCTGGCGGGGTGCCACGTCTGCGAAGGCGGCGCAGCAGCCTCAGCGTCGCCAACAATGGGCTCGGCGCCATCAAGAGTCCTCAGCGAAATGTGGGCTTCGCCTTGCAGCGTAGCACGCTCATTAGCCCCGGCGGACGTGCCCGCAGTGGGAGTGTCGACGTCGGCCCGGCTGGTGTGCCGCGCCACGACGAGCTATGCTGTGTACCTGTGCCAGGCAGGATAGGAAGTCGTTCTCGGAGTGGAAGTATAGGTGGTGCGTTGCGGTAAGAACCCTGAACCCTTCTTTTCTACTGTATGTATTCACGTTCATCTGGTTTGTGTTTGTCCGTTACTTTCAGATCCCGTCGTGCCCTCCGCAAACCTCCCCCCGTCCCTCCACCGAATGTGCCCCTCCCGCCTCTCCCACCGCTGGCCTCCATGGCAGAGCTCTCCCCTCGCCATCTACTTGTACACCGCACACAGACCACCGAGAACTTTGATTCGTTCGCCGGTGCACTCGGACCGGATGCGACCTCACCGTCATTTCTCATGCCTGTTCCCGATTTCACGAACAACTTGAAAGCCATAGCCGGCATGGGCGCCATCCCCTTATCTTCCGGTCCTCTGGCAGAGGTTTCTGCGTTCTGGGGCCCTGGCGCCAGGACAAACGGAAACTAATGAACTTGATTTGTACCCGAGTGTATTCATCATGCTCCGAACACCGCTCCTTTTTTTTTGTTCATCCACACGTTGTGCACTTCCCTGGATGGACAGCACCACCTCCACCTTTTTTCGGCCTCCTCATTTGCCTTCCGTCACTTACCCTAATTCCTATTAATCTTTCAAACATTACTTTAGAACTGAGTGCTCGACTGGCCTCGTGCTTGCCTAACATCGCATTTTCATTTTCATCCTCATCGAATGAGTGCCATTATCACGTTCACGACAATTTCCGTAACGGAGTCTTTTTTTACACGTAAATATGTTTGTAACTGCTTCATTTACCAAATGATTATCGCCCAACCAACGTACGTCGCTCTGACGATGGTTGTAGTCACAGAGCTCTTGTTGACAATTTCTTAAAAAAAACACCTATTGTCCCTGAGCGGATTCGAGCCGCTGGCTTCACGGAATTGCAGCGAGGCGACCACAACGTGATGATTTAACCACTAATCGACAGGGACTTAATGAAGTAGTTTCAATCTTATCTTCTTGTCGCCCATGAAATTTTTTTTACCAGTATGTCATGTGATTTAGAATTTAGCTTGGAATTTAGCTGGTAAGGACAAAGCGGTCCCACCAGATGCGTGTAGCCAGCACAGCTACAGAACTTTTGTGGACAAAGTGTCTGGTAATCGTGATTGGAAAGATGTGATACCAGTGACTAAATAGAGAGTGTACAATTAAAGTCAATGCCCGAGCGCAGCGACTTGCAGTCACATGCTGCAAGATGGGAAATAGCGTGAGTAAAGGACGTACCGTAGCTCCTCCCGGATGCGAGAAGGGGTCATGGACATGGAGTCCTCGTATCTTGTTGATCTCGGTAATAAATCGCTCTCCCGCAGGCGGCGGGATACTTGCGTTCCGACACTATCTCCTGTTATTGTACCCGGCATCCTCAAAACTCTGTTGCACTCTTGGTTGCACTCGCGCCTTGACTCGCACTCCCCTCCCCTCCGGGAAGTTCCTTGGGCCACGGACATCGCCGAAGTGGATTCACCAGGGGAGATATTTGGTCATAAGGTTCTTGATAAGGTTACAGTACCACCTTAGTCGTGACGCAGGAAAATCGAAGGTCCATTTGCCTCGTCTGATTTGCTTTGCTCATCTCCGCGCCGACAGAAGCGCCGACTGGCGAAGAGAGGAAAAGAACTTGTTGCCTCAAGAAATGAAGGTGGTGCGCTCAGGTCTTGCCCAGGTCCTCCTATTGGCTGCAACCCAGCCCGAGGCCTGCAGCTTTCACATCGCACCCTTGATCGCACCGCAATGTCGCCAAGTGTATCTTCCAAGGGATTGGTACTCGGTCTGCGAAATATCCGTTGCCTTTCAACGTGAGGGCGCTGACTCGGGTCCTGACTGGGTCGTGCATGCTATGTGCCGAAAACGTTGCTGCCCAAGTTGCTGCCACATTCGCACAGTAACCACCGAGTTTTTTGGAGCTGAGCGTCTGTACCAACGGTACTGTACAGTCCTCGAATACGTGAATTTCTCATTCTCGTACAACGCACTTGCGTTCTAACGCGTAATACAAGAAAAACGTGCTAGAAACGTGAAGAACTCTCGTTTTTTCTGTTTCACACTTCTCCGAATGATCTGCAACCGAGGAGATGACATCTTGCGGACACGTGACAGGTTATCCATGTCCACGCCTTGACCACGCCCAACCCGATTTTTCAATGAGGACGACGCCGTCACAGTCGGCATATTCAAATTTTACGTCGTCGTCCGAGCGTTCGCAGATCGATACGTGACGAGATGATCGCTCGACGTAAGAGAGGCGCACACACACCTACTGGCATAGAGTCCATTCATACTGTCATGATCGTGAGAAGTTTCGAGACGAGAACCCAAAACACGTCCCCGCCCGCCTACTCACCTTTTGCCTCTTTCACCACCATCGACCACTTTTCCTCCTCCTCAGTGAGTCACCCGCTGCCTTGTCTCGTAACTCAAAGTTGATTCATTCTCGTCCCTTCTTTAGCAGCCCGCTATCCCAAAGGCAAATGCGTGAAGTCATTAACATCCACGTCGGACAGGCCGGAGTCCAGATTGGAAATGCTTGCTGTGAGTCATGCTGAAAAGCCGCACTTGTCACCTCCAGGTATTGAATACTCTTCAGGGGAGTTGTACACTGCCGAACATGGGCTGGGTGTGAGTTCATGATCGCCGTCTAGATGTACTTTTGCTGGCCCTTCTCATACCTCTGAAACCAGCCGGACGGCCGTCTCGGGGCCAATGACACTGTGCGAGGAAATGGCGCCGACGGCTTTAGTACTTTCTTCTCCGAGACATCATCTGGGAAATACGTTCCGCGTTCTCTTTACATCGACCTCGAGCCAAACGTGATTGACGAGGTTCGCACGGGCAAGTACCGTGAGCTCTTCCACCCGGAGACAATGATCACGGGCAAGGAGGACGCGGCGAGCAACTGTGAGTGCATACAGTTTCCTTGTCTGGCGTGACCTGTCTTTTACAACATTTCACAGACGCACGCGGTCACTATACAGTTGGGAAAGAGAAGATCGATGTCATCCTTGACAGAATTCGCCGTCTCGCTGACAATTGCACTGGTCTCCAGGGTTTCTTTGTCTTCCATTCCTTCGGTGGCGGCACTGGTTCCGGTCTTGGCGCTTTACTTTTGGAACATCTATCTACCGACTATGGCAAAAAGTCTAAGCTTGAGTTCTGCGTATATCCGGCACCTCAGTTGGCAAACTCTGTTGTCGAACCGTACAATTCTGTGCTGACGACGCATACGACGTTAGAGCATGCTGATTGTTCATTTATGGTGAGTCGGTCGATGTTCGATGGTCCTATGACGGGCCTGACGCTTTCAGGTCGATAACGAGGCGATTTTTGGGATCTGCAAGAAGCACCTGGGAATTTCCCAGCCAAGCTTCATCAACCTGAATCGCTTGATCGCCCAAGTCGTTTCTTCAATCACGGTTTCCCTTCGTTTTACTGGTTCTTTGAATGTTGACCTGAATGAATTCCAAACAAACCTCGTCCCGTCTGTCGCCTTTCGTCGCCTTTCGATACGGGGTCCTTTAACATTTTTCTTACCGATAGATTCCCGCGAATACATTTCCCTCTTGCTACATTGTCTCCCATTGTACCCGTGGACCGGGTTCAACACGAGATGAACGATGTCAGCGCAATCACCAATGCCTGCTTCCAACGCGGCAGCCAGATGATCAACTGCGATCCTGTGGAAGGAAAATACAGTACGTTCTACCCTAAATGTTGAGTGGCATGTGCCTTAACGAGACATTACAGTGGCATGTGCACTGCTGTACCGTGGAGACGTGGTCTCGAAGGACGTCAACGCCGCTGTTGCCCAGTTGAAGACTCGCCGTACCATCCGGTTCGTCGATTGGTGTCCGACAGGTTTCAAGATTGGCATCTCCAACGAACCACCGGCACACATACAAGATGGCGATCTCGCCCGCGTTGTCAGGAGCGTCTGCGTACTGTCTAACACGACTGCTATCGCCGATGCATGGACCCGGCTGGATCGCAAATTTGACTTGCTTTACTCCAAGCGAGCCTTCGTGCACTGGTATGTTGGCGAAGGTATGGAGGAGGGTGAGTTCTCCGAGGCTCGTGAGGATCTTGCTGCCCTCGAAAAGGATTACGAAGAAGTCGGGGTTGACTCCGCAGATGTGGAAGAGGAACAAGGGGAGTACTAGGCATGTGCGCGTCCTGTTGCTGCTTTTCAAGTTCCGCTATCCACACAGTTCCGACCTTCCCTTTTTACTACCGTCTCTATCCACGAGTTCCATAATGCCTGGTATTAATCGTCATGTCCTTCACGATACCCGTCGCAATTGTAGCACACGCACTGCGTTCTGTCCAGCTTTTGAGTCGCCTCGTTTGTGCTATGTGAGGTGAATAACTTGGTTTCGAAGTGTTCGAATATTGGAAGTGGGCAAGTGTCAAATCTCGGTGAGGTTGTGAAACAAATACACACGTCGTTCAACTCGACTGTGTTCTCAAAATTCCACTGTACTTATTCCTCCTTTACAGTGAGGTACGCTCATTCTTACGGTTATAGAACATTGTAACTGTATTGGAATTCCCTACTGAATTAGGTGATGAGGCCTCGATGAGGTGCAGGTGTTGTGATTGCAAGGACCATAGTGGTCTAATAATATGTACTAGGATGCTCACATTTTTCTGATAATGGCCTTGTAGCCTCAACCTCTCCAGTACCGCGATGGGATGAAGGGCAAGGGTGTGACAACAGCCCGGCGAGCCTTCTTACGCACCTCGACTGCGAGGGCTGTCCCTTTTTTGTGGAAGCCGGACTTGACGTAAGCCATGGAGATGTTTTTGCCAACAGTGGGAGCAAGTGGGATGCCTGACGTTACGACGCCTACAAGCGCTTGTTATAATTATCGCCGGTCACGTCACCACGGGGGAGGACACGCACCGATTTCATCTGATGTTTCTGGTGCAAGCACTTTAGCGCCCTCTGAAACAACCCAAAAATCAGGATGAATAGACGGAAATTGAGAAGGGTACGCACGGCGTGCAGGCGCTTCCTCAACAATCAGTCCTACACGCCGTCTTGGTGGTCCGTTCTTCAGTTGGTCCAGGACGGTCTTCGAGCCGATAAAGCCCCCCGCAATACGACGATCTTTTCCGATTACCCAGGAAAGACCGGCTTCTACGGGTGTCGTGCTCTCATCGAGGTCATTGCCGTACAAACACATTCCCGCTTCCAAACGTAAGGAGTCACGTGCACCGAGACCAGCGAGTTGGACGGGGGAGCGGAGGAGTGCAGATGCAAGGAAGGCGGCATGCGCGGGAGGGATAGAAATCTAGTTGGGTGTCAGCAAGCAGCGAGGGTTCAGCGCGACAGGCGAGGGACTGACCTCGAAGCCATCCTCACCTGTGTATCCACCGCGTGCAACGTGTACGTTGATGCCCTCGAGCGGAACAAACGCACTCCTGCCAAATGTCAACGCGCGCAGATCGTAGGATGTAAGAGCCTGTAAATGGTCCGCTGCCGCGGGACCTGTCTTCAGTCAGCAACGTTCGCCTGACCTATGAAGTTTGAATGGAACAGACGCACCTTGTAGGGCAAGCAGTCCCCATCCCTCCAATACTTCGTGCTCTACAGGGCCATCTTTCGAGCGTTCGCTGGCGTTCCATTCCGCCAACCGCGCCTCGAACCATGCCAAATCTTCCACGCCCCTGGCTGCGTTCGTAACTACGTAAAATGCGTCCGACGCGTATTTCGTGATCATCATATCGTCGATGATTCCACCGTCGTCGTTGAGGAGTACTGACAGTGTCGATGTATAGGGAACCAATGTCGAAAGTGAGGAGGGAGTCAACCATTCTAGGAATTCAGTCGCCGTGGCGCCGCGGAAGCTACAGGGGTTTTCTTCGTTCAGAAACGTTATGGGTATCTTTTTGCAGCGCATACTTGGACTGTACCATATGCCCAACGTCAAAT